CCTACTTTTGAGAACTGCTAAGGACCAGATGATTTTTATTATGTCCTGATACATAAAATCACAGAACTCAAAGAGGGTGTACTTTCTTTTTCACATGACTGTATATGAGTTTTCTATTCTAATGTGTTTAATTTGTAGTATGTTTCTCTTTGATGCATTAATTTGAAATAAAGCCTGTTGATGACTGAATTATAAATTGTCTCAACATCAGTCACCAAGTGGAGGATCAATGGGGTTAACACAAGTTCAGTATATTTGGTTAAATAGGTTGTTGAAGATTAAGATGTAAACAGCATCTGGGAAGGAGAGTCGTAGCCAATTCCCTAGATTGCATGGGTTGAGCATCTCTAATAAGCTTGCACCCAAGTCCTCCACCCAAAGTCAAGAGATAGTTATCCAAAAGGCGGGCTGGTTACATAGCCTGAATTGGATGGTTATGGATGAGAACCAATCAGAAAGCCTGATTCCACAGGTGTGGACCGAAAGCCTGGATCTCAAAAGTATATAAAAGGACTGGGTTATGAGGTAAGAGTCAGAAGATCTCCAACAGAGATTGCCCAAATGTCTCTACCCTTTCAAAGCTTCCCTACTTCCTGCTCTGTTCATCTTGTACAGCATGTCATTGATTGGGCTAGCCCCTCTACCTGCCGCTTGAGACTCGTACCATAGTAATTTAAATTTAGACTTTATAGGATAAGTTAGAAAAATTATACACTTAATGTGGTGCATCTGAGCTAAATTCTGCTTTTGTAAATTGATAGTCTGATTTAAGCAAACACTGGATTGCATTTAGATTTCTCTGGTTCAGTGTTATCTTTGGTTTGCTGCTCTGCCAGAAAAAGGAGAACCCACAAGGGACTTCAAAATGTTGCATGAATTTACTGTTCAGGGAATGAAAGAAGAACGTGAGACTGAGAACTGAACGTACAGGCTCACTGCCGTAGAAACGCACTTAACAATCAGTGAAGCCTAGTAACATGCAATACTCTTGAGACTGTCTGGTGGCATTCAGAATTTTGCAGCAGAGGCTCTGATTCAGAAGTCAGGACTAGCATTTTGTAGGTTATTTATAAGCTAGGATGGTTGCAGAATGAGTACGAACATGGTGCCTTTCGAAAAGAAAGATTTTTTGTGTGTGTGTTAACTAGCCACCCAGGCCTTTGGGATCAAATTTTTCTGGGAAGGCAGTTGGTTCACTGGGTTGTTCGTCCTAGCAACTAACTAGTTCACAATCACAAGAAATAAACCCTAAGAATTACTAGGCTTTGAGTTTAGGAGATTGCCAGAGTGAGTGGTTGAACATGGGAATAACCCTAAAGTTAAGTGTGACGAGAGGACTAGAAGAAAAACCACCACTTCCTGTAACAGTTTTGTTCTCAGTTGTTCTCTGTCTTTTGCAAATGTCTATATGTAGATGTAGGTTTGCAGCATGGAAGCAAGGCGTACTGTCTATTCTACTGCTTTGTCAAAAAAAATCTCCTTTTTGAAATCATTCCCTATCAGCTTGGTTGGACGAGGGGCGGAAATACAGTCTGATACTGTTTTTTAAGCACAGTAACACTTCAGCAAACATTTCTTAGGGTTAAATGTGAAAAAGATCAACCTTAGACTAAATTTTAAAAAGCTTGCAATAGTACTTCCTGTTCTGCAAGTACTGAGTCATATCAGATTCAGCAATCTTCAAGCATAACAATTTGTACTCACTTTCATTAGGGGACAAATAAACGATTTGGTATTTTTACATTTAATAACACTTGGCATATATTTAGGGCTCAGTGGGTTTCCTGCCAACCCTTCTCCCACTACCACACAAATGGATTGAGCAGGATTAATACTTGAAGTCCAACACCCACTGAGACTGAATTTTAATGGAGTTGGTTGTCACCTGTTACAGCTTCAGCTTTATACTACTTTCATAGTAAAACATGAAACATTATTACTTTAACATTACAACAGTAACATTACTTACAATGTTTCTGTTTGTTCAAATTCTTTTTCAACTTCTGTAAAGAGAAAAAGGAAGAAAGTGATTTGTATTTTCTGTTGGCATATTTTAACTATTTATTTAATATTTTGTGCCTTTGAGTGTCTTGACTCCTGGTGACTTTCTGGACTAGTCCCTTCAGTTTTCATTTTTTAGAAGTGGTTTGCCGTTGCCTTCTCCCTAGGGCTGAGAGAGAGTGACTGGCCGAAGGTCACCCAGCTGGCTTCATGCCTAAGGCAGGATTAGAATCCACGGTCCCATTTTCTAGCCTGGTGCCTTAACCATAAATTCATAAATAAAAGGAATAAAATTAAACCCAGTTTGGTGTAGACCAAACTGTGTTTAATTTTATTCCTTTTATTTATGAATTTATGGGATGCTATAGTCAACTGACTCGGACTGATTAACATGACTGCTTACAAAATCTTTCTACAAAAGGAATCATGCTTAAGGATAACAAAGAATATTAACTTAGTTGGAAATATGTAAAGATAACAAATATCAAAAATGGAATATTAAAACTGGAAGCATGTTACTTGTGTGAAATACTTTGCCCAGTAACACTGCAAGATAGAAAGAGTTGCTGTTTCTTCCTTTAGTGTGAAAAAGACCTTTGCAAATTTAATTAATGGAGTAGCTAACAGCCAGATTATTTTAATGACAATATATTTCCTCTCTATAGTTTCATTAGGTGATTTCACTTCATACTTATTTTAGTTATATATTGCTAATTTTTTATACTGCCAACTATTGATGTCTCATGGCAATATATAATAAAAACATAAAATAAGAATTAGTGAGGAAATAAAATTAAAGTAACAAATTAAAACTCTTCATAAGTTAAAAAAAAACTCCTGCCATAAAAAGGGTGTACGTGTTGAATGCCTTTTGAAAAGGTTCAGTTCTTCCAACTTGACAAGCACACATAGGCATTTGATCAAAGCTACAATGACATCATACACATTATGATGTCATCTCACAAATGACACAAATTATGATGTATTTATTTATTTGTTTGTTTATCAAATTTATATGGCTGCCCATCTCACAAGAAGTGAGTGGCTCAGGAATTCTAGAAGCTGAGGTCCAACACTATGGGAACATATCAGGTGTCTGGTAGAAGCCATAATGATGTTTTGCATGTCATCACATCATGACAAAAATTATACCTCAGCAGATTACGTTATCTGCATAATTTATATGATGACATAATGAACATGCAAGACATTAATACCCCCTCCCTTACGCCCTAAGGACACCCATGACCATCAAGTTGAGGAAAACCATCAGTTTTGGTCTGAAGTTCAAACTTCAGTCATAAGCAGAAGTCTACAATTCACTGGTTTATTGTAAAAAATAAACAAACAAACAAAACAAATAAAAGAATCACATTTCAATATGTTATTCCACCATATCTTACCAGTATTCTCTTCTTTCTTTTTGGAGCACACTTCATAGATAAAGATAAGAGCTACTAAAATAATAACTTCAGCAGCTATTACTAGAAATGGTTTGAGAGGGGTCAGATAGGTGAGGACTTTGAGAGATACTTTTCCTTTGCTTTCACCCAGTAGAAATCCAGCTTTGCACCAGTAAAAACTGCTATCTAATTCAGAGAGATCAAAGATCTTCAGTTTGGTAATGTTAGCATGTGTCTGGATAAGGCTGTACTTCTCTGGCATCAGGGTAGAATTAATAAGAACCTAACAGAGGAAAAAAGAGTGAAGAATCTTTAGCACAAACTCATGCATCATTAGAAATCCCAACATTTAGATTTTTAAATATGCAAATTAAACATCCTAGCAGGAAAATTATGACTGTGAAATAGAAATGTGAAAGGGAAATTTAAAAAAAAAACCTTGGAAATCTATGAACATTTGATTCACAGCCTAATTTGGGCAAGATGGATTAGATCTGGTCTATATTATAAAAGCATAGCTTAAAAAATATATTGAAATAATGGGGGGGGGGATTCCTCCCATAAATGAAACAGAACTTTACCTCTCCACTTCCATTATTTGAATACCAGGTCCAAAAAGTTGGGTTAAAGTGAGTTTTCTCATTGCCAACTTCACAAGTCAAGATCACGGTGTCACCCACATAAGTGATCATATGCTCAGACTTTACATGGATTTGAGGCACTAAGGAAAAACAAGAATGACTGTGACATGATATGGTTCAAAGATGAGGCCCACATGAAGTCTCAAGGAAGGGCTTTCCTCGGATCAAGCCTTTAATAAATTCCCCATCTAAACCCAGTGCCGCCTCCTCTTCCAGCCTTTGACAGTGTTCTGCAGGTCTGTAGGCACATGCAGACACTTCTATTACAGTACAGCAAAGGGCCAAGCAAAGTGATGCCCTTTGTGATGTGAAATGTACATTTGTATTCTACCTAGTACAGTGGTACCTCGGTTCACGAACTTAATTCGTTCCGCAACTCTGGTCGTGACCCGAATTGGTCGTGACCCGAATTGGTCGTGACCCGAATTGGTCGTGACCCGAATTGGTCGTGACCCGAATTGGTCGTGACCCGAATTGGTCGTGACCCGAATTGGTCGTGACCCGAATTGGTCGTGACCCGAATTGGTCGTGACCCGAATCAAATTTTCCCATAAGGTACAATGTAAATACGGTTAATCCGTTCGGAACCATATGGTTTTTTTTTTTTAAACCACAAAAATATGACACAAAATACAGTACAGTACACTATGAAGAGAGAGAACGCTAACCTTGCTTGAGT